GTATGTGGGACGCGGCCTCAGCATGGCCGGAGAAGCGGTGCGTTGGTGTGCGCCCAGGATCTGAACCCGGGCCGCCAGCAGTGGAGCGCGCGCACTTAACCGCTAAGCCACGGGGCCGGCCCCAATCTGTTCTTTCACATAATACCCAGTGGTGCTTTTTCCCTTCTGAGCACTTATCACTGTTGCTAAATATATATTCATTTGTCTACTTGTTTACTTGGCACAGGCTTCCAATGCTTTTCCTTCTTACCACAGATCCCCTTCTCTGGGCTAATTCTTCATCATTAGATGTACCTCTTCCAGGAAGCTTCCCTGACACCCCCAGGCTGGGTCACGTGCCTAAGCTGGGGCTACCACAACACCTCCATCCCAGCCACAACCACTGTGATGGGGCTTCCGCCATCCTGGCCCTGGCTCCTCCGCCTGTGCTTCTCTCATCATAGCCCTGCCACTCTAGACTGTCGCTGTCCTCTGCCCCGTAATGGTAGCTCCATGAGGACAGGAACCAGGGCTGTCTGGCACTGCTGTATCCCCAGCATCACCCACCCCAGGGCCAGCCAGGCACTTCACAAAGGGTGAAGAAAGGAATGAGCGCATTGCGCCTTCTCCCTCCACAGAGAGGCCTCCTCAACCCCAGGGCACATCCTGGATTAGTTATTCCCCTCCGGCCCTAATCACTCCCCAAATTATCTTGCTGACTCGTTTGCTCTGGAGTATAGTGTCTGTCTTCCCACTCCACTCTGAGCTGTAAGCTGACAAGGACCAGTGCTATGTTGGTTACCACGGGGCACCCCAACTCCAGCACGGGGCCTGGCCCAAGGGGAGCAGAGGCAGGATGTGTTGAATGAATAAACGAGATGCACGCACACTCACGGAGCTGCAGAGAACTTACAGAGAGAGACACAAATCCAGAGGGGAAAGGGGCGTGACCAGTACGGTAAATACAGGTTCCAATTTAAATGCGGGGTAAATGGCCCTCCGCGCTCACGCAGGGCTGTGAACGCCGTCCTAAAAAGCGTGGGCGACGGCCCGAGGCCACGGGAGGCGGGGAGCGGGCCGATCGCTAACTGACAATGAATGAAAGTCGCGTTTTTCTGCACATCACACCATAGCCTACCCAAAGTGGTTTTCTTCCCAAGGAATGTCCTAAAGAAAAGAATAATCGACCCCAACGCGCCCCCTACCCGGACCTGGCATCTCTGCGCTGTGCACACCTCGAAGCTCCAGATCCCTGACCTCGTGACTTCCGACCCGCAGCGACCTCGCCAACCGCCGCAGCGGCCCCGCCCGCCCGGTCTCCTCGCCCGGCCACGTACGCCACTTACGCTGCCGGGGCGTCCCCGCCGCCGCCAAGCCTGCCGGCTGCATCCTCCACCACCACCGCCACCACTGCCGCCGCCGCCCTGGCCGCGGTTCCAAATGTGCCCGCCCGGCTCCCGTAGCCACGCCCTACCGCCGACGCGACAGCCAATGGGAGACATGATCGAGCAGAGGCCACGCCCCCTCGCGGAGGCCTGGACGAGTCGGCGGCGGGTGAGAGGCGGGGACTGGAGGCCGGTGACGTAAGGCGAGAGTTGGGACCCGAGGGGCAGGAGGGCGGAGCCAGGAGCAATCCTAGGAGTGGGCGGTGTCGTGCATGACGGGAAATGTAGTTGTGGAGCGGAGGGGCCGATGGGAAATGGAGTTCTCTATAAACAGGCGCTCAATTTGGGTCGCTGAGAGCGCTGGGGAGCCAGGGAAGGGTGTGGAGCGGGGGAGGAGAGATCCATTTGTGTCCCCGAGGGGCTAAGCGGAGCTGTGCGAGCTCTAACGCTTGTACAATTTTGGCAGACCTTAGGTATTAAAGTGAATATTTGGAATGAGAAAAGGACGCCCAACAAGTTAGGTGGGAAGAATCAGGAGTCTTTCTTTGAAGACATCTTTAGACATTTTCCCAGAAATTCACAAATGCTCTTGTATTGCGACCTGGCTTCCTGGTCCGCCCAAAACACTACAAGCCCCAGCAACTCATAGCACACACAGCCACACCTGCAAATGAGGAGCCTGGAAATGAAGCTTCCGTCGTCCCTCCTCTCTCCGTCCCCCTGTCTCCCCCTTCATCTCATCCGGTCTCCCCCTTTCTCTTCCCCTCAGCCTCCCCTTTTCTGTCCCTCGGTCTCCTCCCCTTATCTGAGGCAAAGATAATGGTAGAAGTGACTTCTGGGCAGTGATAGCACTCCGGAAGGATGTTAGCAAGTGACCTGTTGCTGTGGCTTTCCCTTTCCTCCTCTGAGATATCTTTCCTGGGGACCTTGAGGACTGTTCTGGGCTCTCAGTTACGAGTCCTGGCTCAGCCACGGTCCTTTTCTGTGAGTGAGGTGCCCCCATTCCTCTTCTGCACCTCTGGTCTAGTATCTGTCCCTTGGGCTCCACCACCAGTTTCTCATCCTTATCTCCCTCCCCTCTTCTAAATTCTGTGAATGTTTTTTTATTAATAAAGCAGGTATTTTGGCTTTCTGCTGGCCGCATCTTCACCCTTTACCAGTTGGGTCACTACTCCATTTTTTTTTTAAATAATTTTATTTATTTATTTTTCCCCCCAAAGCCCCAGTAGATAGTTGTATGTCATAGCTGCACATCCTTCTAGTTGCCGTATGTGGGACGCGGCCTCAGCATGGCTGGAGAAGCGGTGCATCAGTGCGTGCCAGGGATCGAACCCAGGCCACCAGCAGTGGAGCGCATGCACTTAACCGCTAAGCCACGGGGCCGGCCCCGGGTCACTTCTCCATTTTTAAGCCTAAATTTTCTCATCTGTTTAATGGGAATAATATAGGAGGGGTTGAGGGTTCAATACAAGCCTGTGTATCCACAGGGCCTGGCGTATTGTAAGCCTTTGATCACTGGCAGCTACTGTTACTGTTTTTATTATCAGGTATCTCTTCCTGTGAGTTGTCAGCCCCAAGTTGGTCTCTGCCCCAAGAACTGCCACAGTTTTATAAATAGAACCAGCTGGGGTGTGTCTGAGCCGGGCCCCAAGCCCCACTCCCCTGCCTGTCAGATGTGGTCGGGATTCTGGGCTGCTCTCCAGAAGGCTGTCAGGGAGGTGCTGAGTTACAGCTGGAGGGGATGCAGAGAAACATACAGGGGGTGCAGGGAGGGAAAAATCCCTGCTTTAATAGAGGTGTGTATCTGTGGTTCTGCCAGGAAGAGACCCTGGCTCACTCCTCTGCATCCTTCACGTCTCAGCTCAGATATCCCCTTCCTGGAGAAGCTCTCTTGACCTTCCTAATTTTGGTGGGTCACCTCCTCTGGGCTCCACAGGCATCTAGTCCTCCCCCATATCAGCCCTGGTCACTCTGTCTGTGCTTCCCTCATCACAACCCGTGACCCTTTGAGCTGTCACTCTTGAAGTTGGGAGCCCCTGGAGGATAAGGCCCGGGACTGTCTTGGTCACTGCTGTGTCCCCAGCATCACCCAGCAAAGGGCCGGGCACAGAGTGGGCGCTGAGCAAAGATTTGGTGGATCGCTAAGGATCCCCACTCCATCCATGAGGGCCCAGGGGACACCTCCTAATTGTGAATTAGGCGTCCCCTCCAAGTGGACACAACCCCACTCCAGGTCGCACGCCTTGGCGAATGGAGCGAGGACTGGATTTCAGGTTGTCGCCTTGTCGCCTCAGCCACGCGACCTCGTGCAGTCAGTGCCCAGTCTACGCAGCGGGGCGCGATGGCCCTGAGCAGTTAGGGGGAGACTCCTCGGTCAGCGAGCGGAAAAGAGGGCTGGGATTCTCTCTAACCTAGGGAACTCCTGGGAGGAAGAGAGGGAAGGGATGGAAGGACAGGCGGAATGCCCCGCAGCCTTTTGGTCTCCCGGCTCCGGGAGCTCCGGGCTCCACCCTCTCGGTACACAGGAACACCTGGCGGCAGGGCGTGCCTCAGTTTCCCGGAGGCGGAGCGTCCTTCCACCCGCGCCCCTCCCCCTTTCCCTCTCCTTCCTCTTTGGGGCGCCTGCAGCCGCGGCTCGAGCGCTCCCGGAACTGAGGCTGGGCGCCCGGCCGTCGGGAGGC